AAGAGTTTACTTTTATTAATAAACTGATATTAAAAGTATATCATCAAATAATTAATGTACAAAAAATGAGAACAATTTTATTTAAATATATTTTAAATTTAAATAATTGAAATTATATCTATCAGTATTCGTAATTTATCATATTCAACAAAGAAATTTCTATAAAAATCATATATAAAATCACTAAACATAATTAAATTAAAAAATTTAACATGAGTTAAAAGTGATTGACACAATTTTATAAGTTAAAACGTAAAACGGTAATTAAATGAACTCGAAATAAAAACCGTTATAATTATCACGATTTAAGATATTTATCATTTATAAGAACTAACATTAAAAATATAAAAACGTAAAAACATAAACTCAGAGACTCAACTCACGAATTTGACAATAATATTAATGACTATTATATAACCATAATGTTCTTATACTACTTTCGGTCCTAAATATAAGATTAGTTGATTAATTTGAGTAGATTAATAAAATAAGTTAATTAGTTATATGCAATAAATAGGTGTTGTTTTTTCTAAAATATCGTTACTAATCAAATGTATTGTTTAGAACTACTATGATTAAAAAAATTATCTTCGAAAAAATATATATCAATATGAGAGACAAAATGGATTTGGATTTTATATTTAGGATCAAATAAAAGTTAAATAAGGTGTTGTTTAAGGACCGAGGTAATATAAAAGTAGCATAATATTTCTTAGATAATTAGTATAAAATTAGCATAATATTTCTTGGCTAATTATTTATCATGTTTTTTATTTTCGCCACGTGATTTAGATCCTTAATTTTCTTCCTATACATGATTAATCAACATAATAAATAGACAAGTAGTTAGGAAGTAATATTAGTTAAAACCGAGGAATCATATACAGACACTTCAACTTAAAGCACGAGATTCTATCTTTTGTGTTACCTATCACTTAGTGATTACATCTGAAATACTCCTTATAATCATAAGTGTAGGAGTTCAGAGATCAATAAAATTAGTTAAATTAATTATTTGTAAAAATAAATATTACGCGCTGATTTTTTAGATTACCATTTTAATTATTTATATTGAGAATTACTTTATTGATACAAATTCCCTTTAATTAATATATGCAAAAATGGGGATAGTTTAGAAAGAAAATCATAAATTAATGCAAATTAATGTCTTACATTTATAATCAAAATAAACTAGTTTTTACGTTTAGGACAGAATAGAGTAACTGAATTTGAGGTATGAAAAGAGAAAAAGATCTAACCGGGAAAATGAAGGTGGAGAGAAGCCCGGTCCTATCGTTGGTGTACTGAGATTGAGGAACAGATTTATGAAGCATGCAAGCGAGTGACTGCCATTGGTTCAAACTCAGAGAATCTCCCACAAACATTATACTTTTCCCTCTCATTCTCTCCAAGAAATCTTCACCATGGAACCTGCTCAAACACCCCCCCCCAAAAAAAAACCCAAAGCTTGCTTATTTACTAACCAATTAAACAAGTACTTTAACTAGAAAAAATTACATTACAAAATACTACAAAAAAAAAACAGCAAATAGAATTTTCATCATGAATAATCAATTCAGTTTAATGACAAAATTTCACTGCTAATTAATTAATGATGGTCTTTTTTGACGGACTTTGCAAATTCCATCGTTAATTCGTTGGTTTATGTGTTGCATTAAATCCTAAAAATGAGAATGGAGGAGAGTACTTCCAGTTTTTAATGTAAGATCTAATTAACTAATTTGAATAGATTAAGAATGTTAGTAAAATTAGCTAATATATATTTTTTAAACACCTTAAGTATCTTTCTTAATCTTCCTCTTCCCTCTCTTACTTGGTTATTATTGAGAAAATATTAATAAGATTAATTTGAAAAAATTGATGAATATGTGAAATAAGTATTTCATGTAGAACCAAAATTAACTCTCTAATTAAAATGTACGTTGAGTTCAGGAAGAGTATGACATATTTAAAACTTTTAACCAACAAAACTAAATTATTCAGCATGTATGTACTTACCTTGGTAATTTGCAGGCCGAGGGTTGCCAACTATACTTAAGATAGAAGTTATCAGGACGACCATTGTTAGAACAATCAAACTGTTTCTCTATGAAATCACAGTCCGATGATTCATACAGAGGATACGATTCATCGTACACCCAAATCCCATCAAACAAATCACAGCTATTAATGTTCCCTTCGGATTCTACTGTTAGAGAAGAGAGAGAAAATAGCAGAGAAACAAATATCACAGATATGGCGAATTCCGCCATCACACATTTCTGAACTGAAACAAACCAACACACTACTACGTACTGGCAATTCTGATAATAAATAATGGGTTGTTGAGCAAAGCTAGTGAAACTCACTATATATATATATATATATATGAATGAGAGAGATCTAGAGGGAGAGAGAAAGAGAGTTTGATGCTATAAATGAGTGAATAGGAATAAATAATGTTGAGAAGTCAAATTATGAGAGAGAATAGAGAAAATGAGGAATGAGATTGAGAGACACAGAAAAGGAGGTTGAGAAACTGAAACTGTTTGGAGATAGGAAATGAAGATCAAACGGGTGAGACTCACATGTCAATATATAGCAGTCTCACCCTCCATTATGTCTTTTCCTTTTCCTTTTTTTTTTATTACCAATTTTGATATTAAAAAAAAGTAATGATAAGAAATATGAATTGCTTAAAAAATTCTTATCTCCTTTTTTTTTTTAACTCTTGGTTTAATTTAAATAATGGATTTTCCATTTTACCTGTCTTCCGCTTACTTATAGACGGTTTGAATTACCAGTGAAAAAGTGATTTTACACGATAAAAGATAAATAGGTTAAAAGAACTTTGTTTCATAAAACATAAAAAATACTCATTCGTGGAGATTAAAAGAATTAATTGAATTACTTTATTTGTAAAAGATATACTACCATTAATCATTTGCAATCAAACATATTTCATATAAAAACCTTTGTTAATATGCACAATCAATAATAATAATTTGCAAAAAATTATAGATTTGATAAACAAAATGAATTGAGGTATTACATTTAGAATTAAAACAAATGACTCAATTATCTCCTACATTTAGGACTAAAGGGGATAGTAATTTTGAAAACTTGTTAAAATATTTAATATTTAACTCATTTTATCTAGTTTTCATAAATTATAAAAGAATTTTCATAAAGGACCAGAAGGAGCATTTATATTGCCACTCGTTTATGCATTTTTTTTTCCAAATTTTCTTTTAGTTTAATTACTGAATCAATCCTACTCTTACATTTTTGGGGCTCGTTTTCTTGACACGACCATCTATAAATTGCTTATAAAAAGTCCAAATCTATTTTTATCATTTCAGGTGACATGTCGTTTAACAGTTGGTGAGAACTGAGAAGGATATTCAATTATTCTTATTAAGAAAAAAAGGATATTCAGTTATAACATTTGGCTAAACTTTCTTTCTTCGTTTTTTTCCCTGCACAACATTGGGCTAAACTTCCACACACACAGACACACGCAGAGACATTCTCTGAGTCTTTTGTGTTTTGGGTCGGTTGGGGAATCTTAACTCAGTTTTAAATCACAACCCATTATTGTATTTGGGTGTCACAATGTTTCTGTTGTTTAGGCCCATAAAAAGCCCACTTGGACATATCCCTCTTCATGGGCCGACACAATATGCCCAATGAAATTTTACAAGTTACAGATGATTATAAAATTTAATCACCACGTGACAACCCGAGATTTTAATTTCTATTAGAAGAGGTACTCACAACTAATACCTAAGATGGAGTGAGTTTTTAACAATATCTTGCTGGTTATGGTAGAATTTTTGATCATAGAGTTGTTAACATTTGTTCTGTCTATGCGCAAACCTTGGCTCCTCGTAGGATATGAAAAGTAAGCTTCATGGCTCTACCAACACTGTTCTACATAACATTTGGAGAACAGCGGAAGATGATTAAAAACTCATTTATAATATAAAAACAAGCAAATACTACCTCCGGCCCTAAATACTACTTCTAATCTTAAATATAAGAGTTATTGACTAATTTAAGTAGATTAAGAAAATAAGTTAAGTTAATTATTTGTAATAAATATATATTGTCTTTCCTAAAATATCTTTACCAATCAAGTTTATTGGTTAGAATTACCATTATTAAAAGGACTATCTTTAAAAAAAATAAATAAATATGAAAGACAAAGTGGATTGGGGTCTTATATTTAGAATTAAAATAAAAGTCAAACAAGGTCTTATATTAAGATCGGAAGTAGTATAAGAACTAGTTGACTAATTTGAATATATTAAGAAAATAAATTAAATTAGTTATTTGTAATAAACAGGTGTTGTCTTTCCTAAAATATCCTTGCTAATCAAGTTTATTAGCTAGAATTATCATTATTAGAAGGACTATCTTGAAAAGAAAAGGATAAATATGAGAGATAAAGTAGATTGGACTCTTATATTTAGGATTAAAATAAAAGTCAAACAAGGCTTATATTAAAGATCAGAGGTAGTATAAGAACTAGTTGACTAATTTGAATAAATTAAAAAATAGATTTAGTTATTTGTAATAAACAGGTATTGCCTTTTCTAAAATATCCTTACTAATCAAGTTTATTAGCTAAAACTACCATTATTAGAAGGACTATCTTGAAAAAAAAATAAATATGAGAGAATTATAATTTCATTATTAAAAAATTATAATTTCAAGTGAATTTAATAGTAAATTTTTAAAGTTAAAGTGTAATTTGTCTCAAAAGTTTTTAGTCAAAATTTCTAGTATCCAAAAATGTTTAGGTATAAATTTGTCCTAAAAATTTAGAATCATAACAATTTTGCCCTTTACATTAGTAGCTAAAATAGTGAGATTAATAATTAACATTTTTAATTGTTGGGGAATTTTGGGCATTTAGTTGTAATTCTCCCTAACCTTGCCGCCTCACGAGAGGAATTGACCAAAATTTGAAGGTTTTTGCCCTGCCTCTGGGCCATGGCCAAAATTTGAAGCGTTGAAAAATCACAAGGCAGAGCGAAATTATTCGCTTCAAATCGAAGGAACAATGATGTTCCTTTCTCTTTAACATCGAAGAAACACTGATATCGATTGAGGAAGGTACAACAGGAGCGGCATCACCAATATCAGACGATTACGTCCAAACCAACACCGCTTCTGACTGTACGCTTTCTCACCTAAACTTCGATCCAAAGACACTCCCTTCAGATCTCTCTCCCCCTACTTCACATTTTATTCTCCTTTGCTTCCTTCACACTCTCTGTTTGTCAACCGTTCTCAGGTGAGTTGCCCTGTGCTTTGACTGTTTGGTGTGGTTCATGCTCTGACTACCTTAATGTGTTGTTGATTGTTCATTGGAAACATGGTTGGTTCATGCCGGGTCATTTGCATTTGCTTTGGATTGGGGTTTATTTGAAAAAAAATGCTTTTGATCTTAAGTTTCGAATTCTATGGTGTGGGTTTTCAGATTATGATTTGGATATAAAGATACACTAATCCTCTGGTTTCTCAGCTAAATATTCTTGTCTATATCTGTGCTTGAACATGAATGAAGCTGATTTAGCCATCCCTGTATGAATTTTTCTTTTGTATAGGTAAAGTTGGCGTTTCTAGTTTTGATCTGAGCTACTATAGCAGAGTGACTATCTAGAAGCTTAGGAGAAGCTGCTTCTGTTGGTTTAGGAAACCAGTACATATCTGCCTGTCTTGTGTGAGCGTGAAGACGACTATATCTACTAATTGTTTGTTTATTCTGTTGTGATTGGACAACTTTGATTATGAAGAAAGGTCCCCTGCCTGAACTGTGGTTCAGGTGCTAGCTGTTTTATGCACCTAAGTGAACTTGTATTGTTTAATCTGGTACCAAGTGGTGAATCAATTGGTCATCAGTTGGCTTGATTCGTCTAGAGCACATAAATGGCTCACTATACAGATCGAAATGGTGCAAGGGAGCTTGGATTCAAAAAAGTTTGACCTGAGGGATACTCACAACATCGACAATAAAATCCTGGGCTTTTGTATGAGTAGAGAGCTTTCATTTTCTCGTTGGTGTGATGAAGATTCAAGGGTCCATTTGGATCAACAATTAAGTAATGCAGATGCTAGCCGAGAGGAAGCCAGAGATTCTGATTTTGAATTGCCTTTTATTGACACAGATCAGCTGCAAATAAGGTATCAGCATAAGGGTATGCATATGAATGGTGTTGGCACCATGGGTGATGATACTGTTTATCTGAATGGTAATGGATCTGAGAAGTATGTTCCTTTAGACATTGAAAATGGGGCTGCAAGGCAAAAAGTTGGTGACTCTACCGTTTCTCTAGCTAGGCATGGATCATTGAGAGGAAGCTCAGCAAATCTTGTTTCTGCTGCAGATATTCTAAAGACATTGTTTTTCATACTTTTATGGTACACTTTCAGCCTCTTTTTGACCCTGTAAGTTCCTTCTGCAAGCAAACGATGTATAAATTCATCTTTTTATTTTTTATTTTCCCTTTCCTGTAGTTTTCTTATGCTGGACTTGTAAACAGGTACAATAAAAGTCTGTTAGGTGACACTATGGGAAAGTTTCCAGCTCCTTTCCTGATGAATACTATCCACTTTGCAATGCAAGCTGTGTTTTCAAACTTTATCACTTGGTTTTGGTCTCATAGATTCCAAACTAGTGTTTCTATGTCTTGGAGGGATTACTTATGGCGAGGTAAATATGTAATTTGGGTATATTTTATTTTCTTTTTATTTGTTTATTTTTTTGCCTTCTTTCTTCAAGTATAAATATATGTTATCGAAACCTTGGAATAATATTGTCTTAAAATGATGACGAGCACAGTAATTGGAATCGATAACTTGTAGATTTTGAGTGGACGGTAATATTTCCACCAGAATAGAGTTAATAAACTCTAGCCGAATAACTTTGTATTGGGCATTGACTGGGTCTTTGACAGAGAAGAGAAAGATGCTGTGTTCATCCCCAATATCTTGTTTGATCACTACCAAAGAATTAACTGAAATTGGCACATTAATCCTCAATTATCTTCTATCTACTTCCGGAACTATGGTTGATTGTTGATCTCCATGTCTTTGTACTTTCAAAGCTTTTTTGGCTCTCCTAAAGTTATTGTATTTTTATTGAAAAAATTGAATTATTATGAATTACAATCCAATGATGTCATTATTACAGCCCTACAAGAGCTTTTTCAGCCATTCTATGCCATTGTGTTTAATCTTATTCTATTGGGAGTGTCCTATTTTAAACAGAATTTTGGTGAAGTTTCTTTTCTTTTTTTAAAAATACTGACAAGTATTTTCTACAACAATATCTCTTTTTGCTCATCTTTCCTAATATCCCCATAATTTACATCACATCCTAATCTTATTGCTTTGTGCAGCGTGCGTGTGCGTGGGTGTGTGTGTGTGTGACTGTGTGTTACATGCACGCGCACACACACATGAATGGATTCTTGTAATTGTTTTATCTTTCAGATTATCATCCTCTTCATGGAATGCACACATATGCTTTTGACATGAAATGGTCGGAGAATATTTGTTATGGAAAATTGTATAACTTTTTTTTTTTAATAAAAAAATTTCCCCTTCTTCACGTGTCAGTACTTTTATTGTAAATTTATAACCACTTACTTTATTGACTTTTCTATCAACTAATGCCACAGATGGAATTTGCCTTTCACAGTTGTACCAACTGCTCTAGGGACAGCATTGGATATTAACTTGAGCAATGCTTCTCTTGTTTTCATCTCTGTCACTTTTGCTACAATGGTTAGTGACGTTTCTCTTCTTGTTGTTCATCATGAGGAAAACGTCAAATAATATCTATTTTATTTTGTATTGTTACTGAAGACTGCATTTTCTCTCTTTCTTTCTGTTTTTCTTGCCCTGAGGAAGTAACTATCCTTATTCTCTACATTCACCTCTATTTTATTTTCTTTCTTGCAGTGTAAATCTGCTGCTCCAATTTTTCTCCTTCTATTTGCTTTTGCTTTCAGGTGAGTTTATAGTCTTTTGATCTTTGTAATTGTTCTTTCTGTTTTTGTGACCTTTGAATGCTGGGGATCAAAATTGAAATCTCTAAGATACATTGAGGCAATTAAATTCTATATTATGAATTCTGACCATTCCTAAAATACAACATTGTCTGCAAACTATCAATTATGTAGTACCTAAATGGTTACTGATTCTATACGAAAGGTAGACTTATGTTGTGTGACAGAACTTTTAGTGGCCCCAGAAGACTTCAAATTGTAGAAACCTTTAGCTTTGAGGAATAGCACTTTCTTGTCATGCTGTGATTATCCAAAACTTTCACCAAGTTCTTAGTTCTAAAGTAAATTTAAACATTTTTCAGTGTTACTGTCAATTAGTTGATCCATTTATGTATGCCCATATGGTTTCCAACTGTGAATTTAAACATTTTTCAGTGTCACTGTCAATTAGTTGATCCATTTTTGTATGCCCATATGGTTCCCAGTTGTGAAGTTCTATGAAAAATTGATTTTTATTCAGGGCTTCAAGTTCTAAATTGTTTATCTGAAAGAAAATAAAATCCTAGAATCATGTGACGGTGGATGGGAATGATGCTTTGTAGTTTAATTCATTTAATGTGAATCCATCTAAAGTCGAATGGAGGCATAGGTTTCTTAAACTGTCTAGGATTACCGATTGAGTTTTGATAGGTGATGTAAGATGTTTAGTGCCTAATATTCACAAGCCACATCCTGTGGCTACTGTTGTCTACCACAGTGCTCCCAGTCCAAGCAATTTTACTTCAGGAGAAAAATCAATGTTTATGCTGATACCACAGAAATTAGACTGGTCTCCTTTCATCTTTTGTTACATGTATGAAAATGAACACTTCATATTATATTGTGCTTTCCATGAAAAGCATTTTTTTGGGTTGAGTTTCTAAAACTTGTCTTGCGTGTCTGTTTGTAGATACATGCATTTTCAGCACTAATACCTGTTTACTGTCATTTAATTGCAAATTTTGATTGGAAGGTTGGAGACTCCAAGCTTTAAACTGTCAGGCATCATCTTAGTTATCTCCATTGGTATATTACTAACAGGTATATATGGCAGCTCTAGCTTTCATGCCTTTTAATTTGGATTTTGATTTGCATTGATTGTTACAAAAAAAGCAGAATATCAATGTAATTCTCATTACTGGACAAACAATGAAACACCCTTGAAAATGTGTGCATCTTGGTCAAACCAAATGCACCATAACACTGCTAAGGGTGTACATTGCCTGTGTTTTGCTCTACTTAATTTACCAAACTCTTTATAACTTGTCAAAGGAAATCGTTCCACGGTCGGAGTGTTTTTGGTCATTCTCAAATTGGTTCTAAGTGTTGGTTTTATGCAGTGAATACCTGGTCAAGTGGTCAAGTATGGACAGTTAACTATTTGACCTTCATATGAGGAATGCTTCTTTTTTATTCCATTATAAAAGTTATTACTTTATAGGGTTAATACCATTGTTAGTCCTTATAGTTTGATTGAATTTTGGTTTTGGTCCCTATAGTTTCAAATTGTTGGCTTTGGTCCCTATAGTTTTATAATTTTTCAGTTTGAGTTTAACGAATGGTTCTTATTACTTTAACACGATTTGGTTTTGGTTCCTATACTTAAATTTAGATTAAGCCCTTATGAAACTATAGGGATCAAAACTAACGATTTGAAACTACAGCAATTAAAACCAAAATTGGATCAAGCTGTAAGGACCAACAACGATATTTTATACATCTGCACAATGTTTTTTTCTTTTTTCCTTTTTCCTTTCTTCAGTGGCTAAGTACATTTTTTAAGCCTTAGAAACTTCTGCACGCTGAGAAATTTGTATGTCCATCTGAAATACAATTCCCTTGAAATGCAGTTGCAAAAGAGACAGAATTTGAATTTTGGGGATTTGTACTTGTTATGCTTGCTGCTGTTATGTCTGGGTTCCGTTGGTGCATGACTCAGATCCTTCTGCAGGTTCATATTTTGTTTCTGATTTCTTTTTTAATATCTATTTTATGTTTTGTGCACTCATTTTTTCTGCCCTTAACAATTATTCTTACTCCATTTTGCTGGGCTGACTTGGTCTTTGTTCTCTTCATGCAATTTGACACCAAACCAATGCTAAAGAAAGAAGCCTATGGTAAGTGTCTTGAATAGCTCTGCAGTAATTTTTTTTAAGGAAAATAGTTTTGGAGATTTATGTGATATTTTGATGAGAAGCGAGTAGTCTCACTTAATCATGATTATTTTTAACTCATTCAATGATATATTTTTGGTATTTTCAGAGACTTGACGTGAATATGTGCCAGTTCAAGTTCTCATTTTTTATGAAATTAATTCATAGAGATAGGAAGTACGTAACAATAGGAAGTACATAGCAAGAGTGAAAATCTGTCCTTTTGTGTAATTTGCATAGCAGCGCCAGTAGATGCCCTTTATTTCAAATCCCCAAGGAACCGGCGAAGCAAAATCCCTCTTGTACCATAACGGATGTGAGGGAGAAATCTTAGGCTCAAAAAGGTTATGCAACTATGCTCCACTGAGTCACATCACATGCAAAGGAGGAAAAAAAAAATGACGACAATCCCAAAGCACCTTGCTGGACTATTGTAGGTGGGCACATAGGTTCAATGCTTTCTAAACTAGCTACTATTTTTTCAAGGGTTGCTGAAGACCCTGTCTGCTGTTTTTGGAAACAACGATTTTTTTGTCCCATAACTAGATGATGATGTAAAATTGAGGAAACAGAATTTGACAGAGATATACCTTAGTATTTGTTAGGATTACAATTTTTGAAAACTAATGACCGTTATATCTCTTTGTGAAATTGTGGAACCATATGTTGGTCCCGTTTATTAGTTACTCTTTGATTACTTATTTAAATGCTCCCTCTGCTAAATTGAATTAAATTTTGGTATTCTTAGAAATATTGTTATTCTTGAAAGTCTTCTCTTAAATTAGAAATATTGTTTTGGAAGATTGGCATCACTGACAAATCTTGGACATCTTAAACCATCCATGTAAGCAGAAAGAATGGCCATTCTGATTTTATTATTTTCTTAATTTTCTTAGAAGATGATGTGGGACCTTTGCATGCCTTCATTACCATTTGAGAGATCACTGCCCCATAGAAACCGTGTACCTAAAGACAACCCTTTAAGTCGTAGGTCTTAGCACAAGGTTAGAGTTCTAGCTTTTCTAAAGCAGTATCTCACTGATGGCTTAAGCCTTTTCAAGAGGAGGCCTTTTTTGCCTGTTGTGCTGGAAAGGCCTAAAGCCAATCCTAGGTAACAGTAAAGCTTCATAGGGTCTTTTTGTTCAGGTGCAGTTGGTTTGCATCTTCATTGCCATGTCTGTTTTACGGATCCTGCCTTTAAGACAGTGACCAAACTGTTGCGAATTTCACGTAGGTTGGAACTTACTTGACAAAGAGTTATTGCTACCTTTGGTCCGTTAAAGTTACAGCTCCCATTCATTGACGCTTCAGTTGCTGAATATAGATCGTCATCCCATGCAAATAATAACCGAGCAAATTCCTATAATTACAACATGGGTAAAAAATAATATTTGATATTATGGATGGTATTCCTGTCAAGAGAGGTTGTTGAATTAGCCAGAAGTTTTGTTGAGACTAAATTCTCTTTAAAGGTCTTTCTTCATGGACTAGATCCAGGCAGACTGCTAGATTCTTACTTTTAAACCAACGTTTAACCATTCATCATACTTTATGCTCTAGAACATGGCTTACCATGCACTGACCTTAGGCATGTGTGAGCTTATCTCTGGCTTCTGGCCTTGACCGAAAATTTGATGACCATGTTTTAGTTTTTTTCTATTTTCGTCTTCTTTGAATACTATTTCTTTAAAAGGTCTGTACCTTTGTAATGAAATGCTGATAATTTTTCTCAAATAATTTCAGGGATAAAAAATCCGCTTACCTTGATGAGCTATGTAACCCCAGTAATGGCAGGGGCAACTGCTCTTCTCTCTCTTGCATTGGATCCATGGGGGGAATTCAGGCAAAATGAATATTTTAATAGTCCATGGCATATTACTCAGAGTTGTTTACTGATGCTTTTAGGTGGCGCACTTGCTTTTCTTATGGTAAGAGTAAATGTTCCCTTTTTAGGACATGACGTTACAATATTTGTTGTTGGACTTTCTGCTTTCAATTTTTTCCTACTGTCAAATCAGTTTTCAAAGGTGGATCCCCTTTATGCAGGTATTAACAGAGTATGTTCTTGTCTCAGTAACTAGTGCGGTCACAGTTACAATAGCTGGGGTTGTAAAGGAGGCTGTCACCATATTGGTATCATTTTTTATCTTTTCTATGCCAATTTGTTGACGTGAACATCCACTGGCTACCACCCTTTATTGTGGTCTGTCTCATATTTCTAAAGAACCTAGCTAAGTTGTCACTTTTGTGCTGATGTCATTCATAACTCACTTAAGAAGGCTTCCAAATTACTTGACACAGATTGTGCATTATAATTTGATTAGTTTTTAGGCTGTTGTATTCAGCTTTCTATAATATTGAGTTGATGGTATTTCTGCATATGCTGATTTGGTGGTGTGGTAGAGTTTAACAGGTTTTCCTGTAAGACTATGCCCTCACGATCTGCATTGAAAATTTTAATAATTGTATTTAGTAATTAGTTATTAGTAAATTTGATGAGGATGGGAGAAACAAATGTTTCATGCTTGTGTTTTTCTACTCATTCAAGTGCTTTATATACAGAATTAAATTTATTTATTTTTTAATTTGTTAAAGTTTGTCATGTATGTTTAATTTTCATGTTTGTGCAGGTTGCTGTCCTGTACTTTCATGATCAATTTACTTGGTTGAAAGGACTTGGTCTCTTCACTATCATTGTTGGTGTTAGTTTATTCAATTGGTACAAGTAAGTCATAAGCTAATGCACTTCTCAACAATTTATTTTGGTATTTGGTCATACTTTTCTTCCCTCTTAATTTAATTTAGAGCTTTGAACTTCAAGGATGGTGATGGTCATGCTCTCTTTATTTTGAATGGCAGATATTGGAAGCTTCAGAAGGGTGAAGCAGGTGAAGAGCATGTGGGTGGGACCTTCAAAACAGATTCGGCTACAAAGTATGTTATCCTTGATGAGATGGATGAGCAAGAAGAGAGTTCCTGATTTATGAAGTCATTGTTAAAAACCATCGTTCAAAAGTAAGTCACTTCATGATTTATTGATGTTGATGACTGGAATCCTAATTTCTTTGGCCAAGGCTGGAATCATCACAGACGCTTCAAAAAATTTTCTGCTTTTTTTCCTATAAATTGACAACCTTGTGTCTTGCATGATTATGATACGTATAGAAAAAGATGGATTGATTCTTGAAAGAAGCTTTAGAGTTGCTTGATATACTCTGATCTTCATCCCATCACATTATAATATCCAATCCCAAATAAAAGAATGTTCTTTTCTGATGATAGCTTGGTTATCTGATGGAAGAACGTTGCTTTCAGTACTGAAATATGCTTAATACTAACACTCTTTTTTTCTATAGCAGTCCTTGTGTATATTTTGAAGCTGATTGGGTGGAGAGAAGAGAGAACCAATTTCCCACATATAATAAACAATATTTTGTCTTTTATTTTGCTTCATTCATTTGACATTCTCTCTGAGATAATTCCATAGAGGCTGTTGTATATTACAGAACAATAACTTGCTATTGTGTTATAATCTTGAAATTTTGGTTGGACTGTGCATAAGTTATTTTAAATGCCGGATGAATACTTACAGATTCTTATTGGGTATCGATTTTTTAATTATGTCTGATCTAATTATGAGTTCTATGAAAATTTAGTTATAATATAAAATAATAGTTTATTGTAAATATATTCTTTCTGATACTGCTTTTATTAAGGGATGCGATCTTTTGGATGATTGTCGTAAAATGATGCATTTCTAATGATATAATTTATACACAATTATCTGTAATGGAGGTTTTTTTTTTTCCTCAAGCAAATTTTTCTTTTTCCAATTGTTCTCCTAATGAATGTGAATATGTTTTGTACTCTTTTGGTTCTATTTATAGGGTGGAGAGAGAAGGTTTTTTTTAGTCCTATTTATAAGTCATTTTATTAAATTTTTACTATGAAGGTACCATATTGTCCTTCATTTATTATATTGTAGTTAGCTATTTTTTTTAGTGGAGAGAGAAGGTTTTTTTTAGTCCTATTTATAAGTCACTTTATTAAATTTTTACTATGAAGGTACCATATTGTCCTTCATTTATTATATTGTAGTTAGCTATTTTTTTTTTTAAAAGGAGTATATATTAAATAGGGGTAAAGTTGGAAACTTGTTATATTTTAATGAAGAGTTAATACAATTTAAGGTTTTTCTTGGTCTGTATGAAACATGTTAGAAGTGCTTTATAAATAAGACCAGAGGAGTATTTCTTTGTAAATAGTAATTATAAATTATATTGCGATGATGAAGTAAAGGACAATAGAAGAAATCATTTATTAATGCAGCACGTAAAAAAGTGAAATTGTATGCAAATGTTACAGATGAAGTAAGAAGTCCACGCAGCCACGCAATTATTATATTTTGTGTATAACCTTCAGTATGATTACATAATTCCAACACATCTCAAGTCAAACACAATTTCAAAATAAAGATATATCTACTTTCTTATTTTTTTGTGAATCTCCAATTGAGTCTCTGATTCAATCTCCGATTCAGTCTCTGATTCTGAAAAAGAAAACAGTTAATTAAAAGCTTAAATGTTACATCAAAATGGCACACAGACAAAAATAAAAACTAACAGCCTAATTTATCCCACGCATTTGTTAAATTTGTTATTAAATATCTATGTTTATAAAGATGCTAATAATGTGATAAAAATGTGCAGATGGTGAACATTGATTAGGTTGGTTTACGTACTTATTGAACTCTAACATTACTGCAACATGTCATTCATTTAATACAATATTTTTATAAAATGACAATCATATATATAGAAACCAGCATCTTAAGGAGAATAAAAGATTCAAATTCAAATTTCTCATAAAGTAGCCCAAAAAAAAAATCTTTTCTTGGGGGCCGGGGAGGGGTTAAACAAGTGAATTTAAATAGAATCAATGACGTACAAAATTATACGTATGGGACGAAGTGATATGAATAGTAAGTGCACAAAACTATTTCATTCATTAAAAAAAAATTAGAAAAAGCATCAAAAGAGAGAGCTTGAAAGGAATAGTGTATCCATATGGAAATAAAAAGTGTAGGTAGGCAAGTACCTGATGAGGCATTGTATTCGAATCGTGGGGTTATATTTGGACCAAGTTGCATATGCACAGTACCAGATGGGAAGTCGAACTCATAACCTTCATATATCTCTCTCAACTTTGGCAAATTAATGAGACTCAATTTCTTCAATTTGGGGAACAGGTTTTCATGATCACCAACTTCACCTTCACATCCCTTAACAACTCCTTCAAGTTCAGAGCAATCCTTTATGCGTATTCTCCTTAGTGAAGGACAATGAGAAGCCATACAATATGATGAGAACACCCATTTCACTTTGTTGCATTCGGTTATCTCAATTTTCTCAAGCTGAGGGAAGCAAACATTAGAAGAAGAAAGGTGCTTGAGTGATTCATCACAGAATATTCCCTCCCATTCCTCGCAATCAGAAACTTCAAGTGAACACAACTTTGGAAGGCTTGTAACAATAGCAAGAGTGAAAATATTTCTCAACTTTGGGCAACTCTTCAATTTAACATCTTTAAGTTTATGGAGGCTCAAACTTTGTGTGGGGCCCTTCCAAATATATTCCAACACTTCCATATCTATTAAATATGTAGAGCACAATTCTGAATTCACTACCCTTGCTCTCTCATTCTCGTTTTTCTGTAAATTAATTATATTCAATGGTTACATGACAATTTGAAAGATGGACAATATCTATGAACCACATCAAATAGAACTATAAATTAACATTACGAATTAAATCCCTTTTTTCGCATAATTTTAATGTTGTAATAACATAAAAATTATTTGGCAATGTGAAAGAAATTATTTTGGTAAAAATTTTAAAATAAAAGAACAAAAGGAGTTAACATTTTATCAGGAAAAAATTCATTAATAAAAAATAAAAAATACAGATTAAAAATAATAGTAGCATTTTATCATTCATGTTTATTATTTATTATGAGAAAAGCAACAAGTTGAGCTAAAAATAATATTTGATTGTTTGCGGAAAATACTTACGTGTTGCGGACACTCCAATAATCCTCCAAATATCTCTCTCAATTTCGGCAACTTCCATAGAGATAATTTCGTCAGTTTGAGAAGAGGTAGCCGCCAATCCCCATCATCTGCTGCTTCTTCATCAACAACCCTCTCCAGTTCAGAGCAATCCTCTATCATCAGCTTCTCTAGTGAAGGACAATGATGAGAAGCCATAGAATATGAGAACACCCTTTTCATTTTATTGCATCTCCATATCCAAATTTTCTCAAGTTTGGGGAAGCAAACATTAGAAGAAGAAGAAAGATTTTCAAGTGATTCTTCACAAAATATTCCCTCCAATTCCTCACAGGACTTTACTCGTAATGTCTCTAATTCTGGAAGGCTTGTGACAATTGCAAGAGTGAAAATATTCTTCAGCTTTGAGCATCTCGATAATTTAATATTTTCAAGTCTATGGAGGCTCACACTTTGTGTGGGGCCCTTCCAAATATATTCCAACTCTCCTAGATCTTCTAAAGATATAGAACACAACTCTGAATTCACGGCCCTTGCTCTCTTATTCTCATTTTTCTGTAAAGTAATTATATCCAATGATTACATGACAATCTGAAAGACGGACAATATACATGAACCATATCAAATCAAACTGTAAATTAACATTACGAATGGAACCCCTTTTTTCCGTATATTTTTAATGTTGTAGTAATCCCAATAAGATAAATTTTACTAATTTAGGCCTTCATATGTTATCCACACTGATTTGTTACAAATAAAACAGTATTGAATAATTACTTTCCATTTCCACAACAATGAGCTGGAGCGAAAACATTAATTAAAACAAAAATTGCCCAAAATTTGATAGTAAAAACACGATTTTTTTTTTCAAATCAACTAAAATTTTTAACAAGAAAAAGAGGGAGACTTAAGAAAAGGAAAAAAAAAAAATCTCTTTAAAATATCTAAACGACAAATTTGACAAAGCAAACATGCCAATTGTTACGACACTCTTCACAATACAAACCCAATCAATTTCGCACGTCTGACAAAGTGGTGCATTTAGCAAAGTTAAAGAAATTATTTGACAATTTGTTTTTTAAAAAAAAAAGAACAAAAGAAGTTAACGTTTTATCGAAATTCAATTAGAAAATATAACAAATTAAACCCCATTTTTCACATAATTTTAATATTGTAATAACATAAGTTTTATTAATTAAGGCCTTCATATATTATCCACGCTGATTTGTTCCAAATAAAACAGTCTTGGATAATTACTTTCCATTTCCACAATAATGAGCTGGCGCCAAAACATTAACCAAAAATTGAAATCATTAGTTCCTGTTATTATATTCAAGATATATTAATTCTTAAAACTAATATATATATATATCTATATTCTTTGCCAGTAAACACGATTTTCAAATAAATTTAAAAATAAACATGCCAATTTTTAACAGGAAAAGAGGTAGACTCAACAAAGGCAGTGTGAAAGAAATTATTTTGACAAAAATTTTAAAAGCAAACGAACAAAGGCGTTAACGTACGTTTTATCAGGAAAAAAAAAGTTCAACAAAAAATGACAAATACAGAGTAAAAAGAATAGTAGCATTTTATCATTCATGTTTATTATTTATTATCAAAGAAGCAACAAGTTAAGCTAAAAGTAATATATGATTGTTTGCGGAAAATACTTACGTGTTGCGGACACTCCAATAATCCTCCTCCAAATATCTCTCTCAATTTTGGCAATTTCTCTAGAAATAATTTCTTCAGTTTGAGAAGAGGTAGCTGCCAATCCCCATCATGTGCTGCTTCTTCATCAACGACCCTCTCCAGTTCAGAGCATCTGCTTATGTCCAGCTCCTCTAGTGAAGGACAATGATGAGAAGCCATAGAATATGAGAACACCCTTTTCATTTTATCACTTTGCAATATCAGAATTTCCTCAAGTTTGGGGAAGCAAACATTAGAAGAAGAAGAAAGATTTTCAAGTGATTCTTCACAAAATATTCCCTCCAATTCCTCACAACCAATTACTTCTAATGTCTTCAATTCTGGAAGGCTTGTGACAATTGCAACAGTGAAAATATTCCTCAACTTTGAGCAATCCTCCAATCTAATACTTTCAAGTCTATCGAGACTCACACTTTGTGTGGGGCCCTTCCAAATGTATTCCAACTCTTTGAGATATGATAAATATAAAGAACGCAGCTCTGAATTCAACGTCAAAGGTTCGTCTCTTGCTTCAATAGATTCTGTTCCTCTGACTTGCTGAACCTCAAACAGAGTACCTTTCATTCCACTGTACTCAATATCTACATATTTCAAACTTAGGAAAGGGGTCCAAAGTTTCTGATTGCGTGAATGGTGGGAGCTTTCTGCAGTAGTGACCACAGTCTGATTCCCCTGTACATACATACATCTATGTATTCAAATTATAATTATGAAATGCACACAATAATATCAACAACTTTTCTCTCACTCTTATCACGTGACTCAGAGATTAAACACGATTATTATATTACATAATGTATGTAAGCATATTATATATTCAGTGTCAAACACGATTTTTCCAGCAATAAATACCTGGCCCCAAAATCAATAGCACAGACTACAGAATTATTTACTTAACAAAAATAGGAAATAAAAATATAAAGCACTATTGAAAAAATGAAAGTAATTATTTGTAAAATATATAGTGTTGCATTTGGTAAATTAAAAGTAATTATTTGACAAAAAAGTTTAATATGAAAGACACAAATCCGTAAAAACAAATAGTATTTTCTTGTCTTGAAATAAAATGTAAAATTCCAATAGTAGTGCAATCACACACAGACATATGCAAACACTACGTATAGTGTTGCTACAAAGCTTTAAAATTTCAGAAACAAAAAATAAATTTATATATTTGCAAAACCTTGAATTAAAGAAAATAACTGTTGCCTCTCATTTAGAATATGGTGGAGTACTTTTTTAGTCGTACATATATTATTTGCTTATAAACGCGATTTTTTCAAATAAAATTTAAAAGTAAACATGCCAATTTTTAATTGAAAAAACGAGGTAGAATTCACCAAAAGCAAAAACGAAATGCCCTAAAAATATGTGAAACTCTTGGCAATTGCACGAATTTACACTAGCCTCTAAAAACTAGTTTCCCCAATATATAGATGGTGTTAGAAATTGTAATACACATAACTATTTATTTGACTAGAGAGTTAAAACTAACAAATAGAGTGATAAAGTAGGCACATTAATTTCGCATGATAATTTAAAAAACGGATATAAAATGCGGCACCAAAAGAAACGAAACAAATTCAGCTTACAACTTTTTTTCAGCAAACACATCAATATGGATTATTATTTCAAATGTGCAATGATTCAAGAGGAATTTTGCGGATATAACACTTACATATGGGTAGTCTTGAAGGGGCTCCCTTTGGTGCGGTAGACAATCACCATGCGCATCTTCTTCATCAATGAGCCTCTCAAGTTTAGGACAACCGTATATTTCCAATTCCTCTAGCGAAGGACACTGAGAAGCTAGAGAATAAGAGAATAGCCATTTCAATTTGCTGCAATACCAAATCTCAAGTTTCCTCAGCTTCGGTAGGCTTGTAACAGTGGCATGGGTGAAGATGCACCTTCCCAATTCTGGACAGCTCTGTAGAAACAGCTCTTGTAACATTGGGAGAGAACATGTGATCGATGAATCTTGGAACACTTGTTCAAGACTATTCATTTCTCTCAATCTTAAACTAATCAGGTGGGAGAACACTTGTCCTGTTTGATGAATGTTGGTCCTAAGGTTATCAGCTATGAATCTCTTCTCCTCACAGCATGAAATTCCTAAGTGCTTTATTTCAGAATTTATATCATTAAGATCCCACCTACAATTGTCTAGCCAAAGGCAGTTTGCTTCAAGAATGAGATCTTTCATTGATGAATTCGAAACAAAGACTTTGAAGCCTTGTATGCATAAAGCTCTCAGTTCTTCAATGCAATGAGCATCAAAATATTGTAGAAAAGGAGCATGTTCATAGCTAGGAATACCCAATGATGTGGTATCATAGATAATGTACCTCTTCAACCTTGAAAGAGAGAAATTTTCTGGGATGACAAATTTCTTATTCCAAAAGTATAATTCCTCAAGTTGCTCACATCTTCCAATAACTTCTAAAGGACTTTTCTCAATTTCACATCCAACCACATCCAACAGCTTCAATTTTTTCATATCTACAATTCCAATAGGTAATTCACCAAATTGAGAACCACGCAAGTCAAGGATCTCTAATCTTTTGAGTTGACCAAGAAAAGAGATGTCACCCAATGCAATTCCTCTGAAGCATAAGGTATGAAGATTAATTAATGATGACACAATTGATTGCCGCATTGACCACCCAATTTGTCTATGCCAACCAAGTCGTTCCGATTGAAAGCTAGATGTTACAAGGACCAAGATTTTGAGCGCTTCAGTCCCTCTAAGATCTTCAATGAACCCTTCAGGATGAAGTAGCAGAACCTCAAGTGTTGGACATTGCAATTGATTAGACTGCAGAAAATTGCCTTTCAGATTCCATAATGATATTACCTTTGTCTCTTTCAAACTTCCATTTTCAGCCAACGCTTTAGAAACCGCATTGCTATCCACCAAAATTGCTTGATGTTGCTCCCTTACAATCCATAAAGCTAAATCCCGAACTAAGTCATGCATTTTCACATATGCTTGCTTATCTGTATGCATTAATAAACAAGAATCTAATAGACTGTTGATGCTTACTGAAATCTCCCTCCTTGCATCCTCCATTGTGTAAACAATATTCCCCTCAAATTTCAAAGTCCCTTTGGCAAATCGAATAAGATCCTCTGTATGAATTTGATGATCCTCAGGAAACATAGAGCACAATAGGAAGAGTTGCTTTGCTAGACTTGTTGGCAAATAATCATAACTCAATTTGAGGCATGCATAAGGGCCCCTCGAACTCTCATCAATATCCAATGGTAGGGATTGTCGTAGCCTCCATAGTGCTGACTTCCACTCCACAATTCCTTTTCCTTTTAATGCCCTTCCCACTGTCACAATTGCAATAGGTAGTCCCTTGCACTCATCAACAATTTTTTTTCCCACACCAACAAACTCATTCAATGAGTCATGGGTTATGTTTGCATGCATCTTTAACAAATCCCATGCCTCCTCAATCAAGAGGGGCAATTCAAAAGTTTTCTCACAATCCATACGGACACAAACATCTCGATGACGAGTAGTTAACAAAACACGACAATTTTCATTAATCGGAATACCAATTTGTTGGAGATCCAGATCGCTCCAAACATCATCCAAGATTATAAGTATGTTCATACTTTTCAATTCAGTTAATAGCCTCGGTGCTATGGTTGATTCGGTATTTTCCTCAAATTTCAAACCGGTTTTTCCTTTTATTTCTTCTTGGATGTTCCTAACATTAAGAGGCCGAGAGACAACCACCATGACCGCTTTGTCAAAAAGCTTCAGCCCTTCAACTTCCTTACCCACTTCGATTGCCAAGGTAGTTTTACCTGAGCCCCCAATACCATACAGGCCCACCATCTTATTCTTGCCATCTTCAATAGCCTTGAAAAGGCTATTAAAAATTGACGCCCTTGATTTGAAGTCCATGACATCCTTGGAAGAAAATTGATCACTGAGATTAGGAGGTGGTTTCGGCAGGGAAAATGGCTCAGAGGGGGGATTGTCTTTGAGATCCTTCATCTGCTTCGCCTTATCATCCATTTCTTTTGCTAAGGAATACTTGAGCGACATGTTAAAACATTTCTTTCCTCCTCCTCCAACCTCTCGCGGTAGCTCTTGCACCTCCACTAGGACAGCATTCACATCATCCAACCATTTCTCCACAGATGGCATTATTTCTTCAGTTCTTCGATGAGCTTCTTCCTTACGCTTGTTCACATCTTCTCGTGTCACCTCCAACCCTTCTTTTATTTTCTTAACATCCTCAATGTACTGGTTCAAGCAAAACAAATAACGGGCACGACGTGAAATTGGATCCCATAGACATTCTGCAAGCTTGGTCGCAAGACAAGTCCCAATTTCTTCCATCTAATGCAATACAAGCAAATCTTATGTATAAATACACCAACTTGCAATAATTCCAAATACAAAATAATGTCGCAAGCATAACACGCTGACAACATGTAAATTTGAGATTGGATGAACAAATAAAAACATGACCCAACAAACTTATGGCTAGAAGAAGTAAATAATTTATAAGAGGATATAATTAACAGTAGAAACTGAGACTCTTTCAAAAAAGGGTAGTTAACTGTTAATACACATGATCCTTAATATAACAGTTAAATAATTAACGTAGAGATATTATAAAAATTAATTAAATTGACTATTTGTAACAGATATGCACTGATTTCTTTAAACAATAGAATTCACGCAAGGGGAAAAAAAAAAGAAGACTTTTTATACTGCTTAGAAAACGGCTTTCTAACCGGTTAGAAACATTTTTCGTAATGGTGTTAGTATAATCATTTATTATTTTCACAGGGAAACTAAAAATTGTAATAATCTTCTTAATAATTTAAAGTGAATTAACTTAAAACAATTTATATAGGTGCAAAAATGGTTCAATTAACACAAAATTCAGAATAATACAGAAAAGCATCTATCAAATTCAGTGTTTTTGATGCAGTTGTATTCTTTTGCCAGAAGAAAAGTTATTTTCCCCCCACTTCATATCGATACAAGTTGGATTTTAATAGAAAAAATAATTAAAAAAACTTAAGTTAAATTTCTTATATCTATTATGTCAGTTCTTCAATTCCATATAATCATGTGTCCTTTTTTATTTTATGTGAATTTATAATTAAACGCTAATATTTTAAGAATAGGATACATGTTCATCTATGATTGAAAAACTTAATATAAAAAAAATAAGAAACTTGATGTAAGTATTATCCGAAATTAATTTCCCCAGTAAAATATGAACAAAAAATAAATTAGAAACAAAGAGAATAAAGAACTCAATAAATTTGACGGACTGATTGAAAAATAATTTTTTTGACAAAAATAAAGTAAATTCTTCAAATCCTTTTCATAATGTAGTGTATGCTGCCATTTAAGAATTGGAACAAATATATTTGTTGGATATTGCCGTAAAATAATTATAATTCAACATTAAATCTTTCACAACTAAGGGATTTATTAAGAATTGGACAATATAGATGCAATAGACCTCATCAATTTGTTTTGTTTCTAAAGTTAAAATAAATATAATTAAAGAACAAAAAATATCTAAAAAAAGGAAATCACATTCCGTTCATATTTACCTTACTAAAAATTTTATTAAAAGTCATGTAAAAATACTAGTACTTGAATGCTGTTCTTTTTCAATGACATGCGATGTTATTGTTTAACGTTAACATGAGTTGATGAAAAGACAAGTCATGATGTAATTAAAAATGATACCATATCACCAATTATGAGAATTTTTTTATAATTATTTTTATGATTGGTTAACCTCCATTGACTGTCACTGATCGGTAGTCAACATCAAACATATGTGGGGATTCCTATAATTTAACAAGAAAAATTAATTCAAACTAAATGAAGCTACCTCCAAAATAATATTTTGAGTTTAGTGATTATATTATTTTTGGTGTGTCGATGGGCCATTATTGTAGAGATATTATAAGATATGTAAATATCCTGTAATTAGTATATAGGATATGATGTGATATGATTTCATATTAATGAGCCATTAATACCTAGGCTCCTCTTGTATATAAATACCCAATCGAAGTATCAATAAAATACACAATTTCATTCTCTAAATTACATGGTATCAGAGCAGTTTACTAGGGTTAAAAGAAACATTTTTTCTGGCCTCCAGCGTCCGTCACTGTTCACCAGCGTCGGTCACTGTTCACGTGGCTACCACAACGATTAGCTTTCCAGCCTCTACAGTGCACACGCGCCGGCCAGAGGAGGTCGCAGGGGTCCGATCGGCCAGCCACCGGAGTCTCGTCGTCGTCCGAGCAGCGCGTGGCCTTCACGCGCCGTCACCTGTGCGGGTACTGTTCACGCGCCGTCGCGTTTATAGCGTTTTCGGCGTCTTCTTTCGTTTTCCGGCGTCATCTCTCGGTTTCCGCGTCGTCTGGTGTTTTCCGACCCATCCCTGCTCTACTTTTTGGGTCCCATTTTTGTTGTGATTCAGAGCAATTTTGGCTTCCTGAGCAAGCGTTGACACTTGGTTTGTGGCATTCTGATCTATTTTTATTCTGTGGTCCCTAGTGTGATCCACTTGGCTGATTAGTATTTTTGTGATAATTATTATCCTAATGGGTGATAACAAGTCTGTTGTTTCTGAGGTGGTTCCAGTAGTCACTAAGATTACTGAACACAAACTAACTTGGAAAAATTATCTGGATTGGAGTAAGACTATTCGTATTTATTTTCGGAGTATTGAGAAGGAAGATCACTTGACTGACAATCCTCCTGATGAAAAGGATGCCTCTCGCAAGTCATGGTTAAGAGATGATGCACGGCTTCTGTTACAACTTCGTAACTCTATTGACAGTGAGATCATGCCTTCTATTACTCATTGTGAATTTGTTAAAGAGCTAATGGATTATTTGGCACTCTTATACTCAGGAAAGAACAACATCTCTCGTATGTACGAGGTCTGCAGATCGTTCTATCGGTCCGAGATGCCAGTTGACCGTTCCCTCACAAATTTCTTTATGGATTTTAAAAGCACCTATGAAGAGCTCAATGTTCTTATGCCTATTTCTGATGACAGGAAAGTTAATGTGTCTCACCGCGAGCAGATGGCCACCATGAGTTTTCTGACTGCACTGCCATCTCAATATGCGGCTGCTCGATCACAAATTTTGTCGGGAGCTGACATCCCCTCTCTTGAAGAAGCTTTCTCTCGTGTACTGAGAACTGAACAAAACCCTTCCTCAGCTCCCATTCCACCTACTAGTGCATTACTCAGTCGAGGCCAGAATGACAATCGAGGGCTCCCTAGTCGTAGTGGTCCGAAACCAGGAGGTGGTAATCAGGAGCCCAAGGAAGTGATATGTTATTACTGCAAGGAACCGGGACATACTAAACGCACATGTCGTAAGCTGCAAAACAAACAACAACGACAGAGCTCTGCCCATGTGGCCACAACAACCAGTGACATGGTTACTATCTCAGCTACCGAGTATGCTCAATTGAAATCTGCAAATCCCCCGTGAGCACTGCTAGTGCAACAGGTAATGAGGCTACTGCCCTTGTCTCTTCTTCCTCCAAATGGATCATAGACTCTGGTGCTACTGACCACATGACAGGTAACCGTCATCTCTTCTCTAGCTATAATTCTTATGCCAACCCTTCTGCTATCACCATTGCGGATGGTTCCCACTCTCGTGTCCTTGGATCTGGATCTGTTAAACCTACTCCTTCTATTCATTTAAAATCTGTACTCAATGTCCCAAATCTTGCTTTTAACCTTTTGTCCCCTAGCAAGCTTACTCGCCAATTAAATTGTTGGGTCTCACTTTTTCCTGACCATTGCTTGATACAAGATCTTTTGACGAAGAAGATTATTGGTAGGGGCTACGAATCTGGCGGACATTACTTCCTTGATGATCAGGGGTCTCGTGCGGTGGCTTGTACTGGTGGTGTCACTCCATTTGAAGCACATTGTCGTTTGGGTCATTTATCTTTATCTTCTTTAAAAAAGGTTTATCCTCAGTTTCAGCATTTGTCGTCTTTAGATTGTGAGTCGTGTCAGTTTGCTAAACATCATCGTCTACCGTTAGTGTCTAGAGTCAATAAACGGGCTTCGTCCCCCTTTGAGTTAGTGCACTCCGATATTTGGGGTCCGTGTCCAGTTGAGTCCAAAGGTGGTTTTAAATATTTTGTCACATTTGTTGATGATTATTCCCGTACCACTTGGCTATATTTAATGAAAAATCGTTCTGAGCTTTTCTCTCACTTTTGTACTTTTGTTGCCGAAATTAAAACTCAATTCAATACGCTTGTCCACACCTTGCGCAGTGATAATGCTAAAGAATATTTTTCTGAATCCTTTCGCTCTTTTATGCTTCAACATGGCATTCTTCATCAATCTTCCTGTGTGGATACACCGGCTCAGAATGGTGTGGCCGAAAGAAAAAATCGTCACTTATTAGAGGTGGCCCGTGCACTTTTATTTCAAATGCAGGTTCCAAAACCATTCTGGGCAGATGCAGTCTCCACAGCTTGTTTTCTTATTAATCGCATGCCCTCCTCTGTCCTTGATGGTAACATTCCCTACACCACTCTCTTTCCTTCCAAAGCTTTGTTCCCTATTGATCCTAAGATCTTTGGATGTGTTTGTTTTGTTCGAGATGTGCGTCCCACGGTCTCCAAATTGGACCCCAAGTCTCTTAAATGTGTCTTTCTTGGCTACTCTCGAGTTCAAAAGGGTTATCGATGTTTTTCTCCTACTTTGAATCGTTATTTGGTTTCAGCCGATGTCACTTTTCAGGAATCTGTTGCCTACTTTGCATCTAATGCTTCCGCTTCACCTTCTCCACCGGCGGAGGAGGATACCTTTCTGGTATATTCTGTTAGTCCAAGCTTACCACCAGCACCAGCTCCCGTACTGGCACCTGGTCAACCATCTTTGTCTTGGGTCTACACCAGACGTTTGAAGGAAACTACTCCTACTGTTGCGCCACATTCTGCTCCACCATTATCTGCTTCGTCATCTGATCCTGCAGCAAGCATCATGCACCCTGAGCCTGACCCTGCCCCAGGTCTAGATGCCGATCCCTCAATTGACTCTGAGACACCTCCTGTTCCAGCTCCAGATCCCTCTCTTGATTTGCCCATTGCCCTTCGCAAAGGTAAACGTACTTGTGCCCATCCTATTTCTTCTTTTGTTTCATATAACCACCTCCCTTCTGTTTCTCGTGCCTTTGTTGCCTCTTTAGATACTATTTCAGTACCTAAGTCCCTTCATGAAGCCTTGTCCCACCCGGGTTGGCGTACTGCTATGGAAGAAGAGATGGCGGCCCTTCATTGTGCTGGCACATGGACCTTAGTAGATTTAC